TGTATGTTAAAATTAAATTGAAACTGCAATATAAAAATGCAATTTCAAACATACATATTTAATTTTAGCTTATTCTCATTCTATATACTTTTTAACGTATATAATATGTAGTTTCTTTCAGAAAGTTTAAGCTAGTGTAGAACCTGTTTTTACGATGAAATTCAGAGACGATAGTTTACAGCTTGCTAAATAAAAATGTCGGCCTTGAAGCAAAGACCGTCAGATAAAAAGACAATATTTTCCAACACGTGTCTCGTGTCATCACTTTGTTCCTTTTTTTTTACTTTTATTGCTAGAATTTCCATTAAGATAGAGTGGAGTTTTATAGTGTTTTAGATATATGGTTTGGTTTGGTTTCACAGAAATTTTTATTCTAGATAATATAAAACAATCGAAAAAAGTTAAGGATATTGTGTATTCGCTAGGAAGAATTTTTTTCAGAAAAAATGTGTTATAGCTATTAATACCTATGTCGTTTATATTTAAAAAGATACTGTTTGTAAACATAAAAAATAGTACCCAAACAAATAAAAAGCATTATCATTAAAAATGTACAGAGTGGGTCAAATTCGACGCTTTTAAATCGAAACACCCTTTTCTATAGGAGATAGACGAAAACTAATCACGGTGTCTGGAGCTCAATTTTCATCAAAAATATGATGGTGAAAACCGCACATCAATATTTGTTACCGTTTCGGAGTTACGGGGTGTTTTTCAAAAATATGCATTTTTACCAAATCGCTGTAACTTTTTTGCTATGGAAAATTTTGTATTTTTATAAAAACATTTCCAAAGCACCTTTTTACGTAGAATTTAATGGTTTAAGTATAATTTTTTGAAATTAATAATTTAAGAATTATCAACAGAAAATTTGATTTTTTATATGGGATACCCTGTATATTTTTAATTTTTTGAAAAGAATTTAAAATTACCTTTCCAAAAATATAACACACTTGATATTTTGCTCGATTCCTCTTCGAGATATAGAGTATATAAAAATTCGCCCTTTTTAAATAAGTAGGCTTTGAACGGCACCGGCTGTAATGCAAAAAAATTCTAGTTGTGAGCATCAATTAAAACGAAAATAATATTTGCTATGGGAGATGCAGAATTTTATAACAATTTAAAATATATTTAACCAACATCAACACATTTAAACTATATCTAATAACAATAAAAATAAATAGCAAACCATGACCTGAGATTTTGCTATAGGCGTTCGACATATCGACCGTGTTATGTTATGGACAGACGGGGCAGTTTTTGAACATTTCTCGCGGAATCCATTAATTCAGTGGGGGGTGAAAGATACCCTCTCATAACTGCTAAGTATTTCTAATTCTTGTCTAGATTATACGGAAGAATAAGGAACCTTTATTCTTCCGCAAATATATCCATAGGATTAGATCCATGGGCACTAAGTCAGGCGGCCTCGACGGCCAACGGCTGGGATCTTGGTTAGCTATTCAATTATTCTTGAAATTGGCTGCAAAAATTTGCTGATAACTTCAGCGTTCAGAGGCGGTGCGTCGTCTTGCTAGAAAAATATGTTTTCGAGTTCCATTAAGGGCATATCATCAATAAGTGGTCCAAAGCCTACTAGTTTAAAGTGGAGAACTTTTAAAAATTCTGTATTTCGAAGGGGATTATAACAAAATATCAAGTGTGCTATATTTTTGGAGAGGCAATTTTAAGTTATTTTCAGTTAATTAAAAATATTGAGGGTGTCCCAAATAAAAAATCAATTTTTCTGTTGATAACTCTTAAATTATTAATTCTAAAAAAATTATACTCAAACCATTAAATTCTACGTAAAAAGGTGCTTTGGAAATGTTTTCACTAGTAATACCACTAGAGGTCAAATTATTTCCGGAAATTTTTTCAAGCCCATGAATATTTTGAAAATTATCCCCAGTCGAAGACGAGGGATAATTTTCTAAAAATATTCATGAGCGAGAAAAAATGTCCGGATTTATTCGATTTTATTCGGTAAGAAAATTCCACACCAAATTGTGTTTGAAAATCAAATAATTAAAATGTGTTTTTCGCTTCTTGGTCGAATTGATTATTTAGTTACTATGACAACTAAGAGACACCCAAATTTAAAAACTATTTCAGTTTTGAAGCTGTCAAGCGGCACGGCTTAAAAAAAATGTTTCGCTTCGGTCATGAAAGCAAAGAAAATATTCGCCAGGAGATTAAGCAGTTGACACCCGCGAATACTAGGAAATCGAAGTCAAGCGTATGGAAGCAGTTTACAAACTTTCATCTCAGCTTTGTAATTGAAATGTATCAAAATTATCATGTAAACAAATAAAAACCAGTCTCTCAAAAATATATTCTGTCATTATAAACGTCAAAAAATTTCCAGTATAATTCGCTGTTGGGTGCCCACAAGGAAAAAATTTTCACTAAAATTTATCCGTTGCCATGGTGATTTATCAAAAAAACACGTTTTGATTGGTTAAAAATTACAGGTGTGGAATTTTCATAGAAATACAACATTTTCCATAGTAAAAAAGTTACAGCGATTTTTTAAAAATACACATTTTTGAAAAACACCCCGTAACTTCGAAACGGTAACAGATATTGATGTGCGGTTTTCACCATCATATTTGTGATGAAAATTGAGCTCCAGACACCGATATTAGTTTTCGTCTATCTCCTAAGAAAAGGGTGTTTCCATTTAAAAGCGTCGAATTTGACCCACCCTGTACATTTAATTTTTGTTTAGAATACAATTTGTTTGCGTGTTGCTAAGCGGCAGTTTGCGATATTGTGGTTATTCTGTCATCGATAATATGAACAGACGTCATTTAACAGTAGAGCCATTGGGTTGCTTCTTGGCGGTCCGCGATTCTCCAATGATGTCATCAGCATAAATTTCACCTGTCATTGTACCTTCACAGACATACAATTCTGTTCGGCCTCCGTAGAAAAATCCACCCCAGACCATTACACCTCTAAGTCAAAAGGGATGCCCTACTTGAACATATCGGTAGTTAAGTCTTGTATTTCTTAGTTTCCACACACGAACTGTACGTCTGTCAGTACGAAGACAAAAGCGGCTTTCATCGCTGAACATCGCAGTATGCCATTCGTCATTCCAGTTAGCTCTTTCATTACACCAGAGCAAACGTTGAGCTTTATGACCTCAACCTGACTCTTGCGGTCAACGGAGGGCGTCTTATAGGCCTATAACAATGGAAACCTGCTTTTCTAATCGATTTAAGACCGTCCGAGGGGTAATACGTACTCTGCTGGCAGCTAAATGGTCCTGGATGAGCTACGTGTAGTTTCTTGCAGGATCCATCCTAGCTCCTCTCAGTAAGCTTCGGTCCTCCCTAGCATTTGTCGACCTTGGTCGACCTTCCCTATGCCTATCCATGACGGATAATCCATGACAGATATCCTTATTAAACCAAACTAATTAAAACTTTAAATCGATCAGCCATATCAATCTATCGCGCACCGCCAAGAATCAACCCAATGACTTGATTTGTTTCCTTTATTGTTAGATGACGTCTGTTCATATTATCGATGACAGAATAACCACAATTCTCCACAAACAAGTTCTATTCTAAAAAAAATTAAATGTACATTTTTGATGACAATGTTGGGTGCAATTGTTTATGTTTACAAACAGTATTTTTTTTAAACAAAAACGACATAGGTATTAAGAGTTATAACACGTTTTTTCTGAAAAATTTTCTTCCTAGCGAAAACACAATATCTTTAACTTTTCGATTAGTTTAGTATAGCATACGTTATAACAAAGTTCTACAACATAGTTATAACATCAGTTCAAAGATCTAACTATAATAGGAAAGTTTTTAAAGATAAGACTCCCTAATTTACCAAATTACGATAAACCTATCCTCAATTATTTGACCAAGACCCTCAATGAAAAAAAAAAGTTATACACCTCAATGAGAAAAATAGAATAGATAAAACCAACTACACAGGGTGAGTCTTAAATAAGTGAAAATATTTTCAGGGCTGGTAGATCTCGATATAAGAAACACATTTTCTCTTTACCGTTTATAATTTACTTTGAAAATTTCTAAAAAAAATGGAATTTTCTCTTAAATTTTGAGAACTGCTGGATCTTTTCTGGGTTTTCTTTCTTCTAAGTTTAATCTATTACCTATGATTTGGCATTTTTTACATCCTATGTTTTTGATGGAATAGATTTTATACTCACCATGCAAGAACAAAACGGTAGAGATTCAAAACCATCACCCGTCCATCAACTCACGTCCATTTAACTTCGCTGAACTAGGCTGTTTGCCACACTGTAGTATAGTATAATTCTACTTTGTTAAAAATATACTTTTTTACATTCCTTCAAAATTTCTCACGAAATAACTCTCGAACACTCAGAAATGCTTTTTTAAAAATTTATTTATTACAAAAAAATTGGTTTTAGTACATGTGTATGCTATGATGGTTGACAATCAACTGCTTAATTAAAATGAATTAGAATAAAAAGTAAAAAGTATATGTCAGCTTAATTGTCTTGGTGGGAACGGCTGTCTCTCTTCTTCTTATTGAAGGATAGGAATCTTCTGATATATTTCCTCCCTCTGTAGATTCAAATCCAAGGGTTACAGTGGGATTTGAACATCTAATGGATTTTCTTGACGTACGGGCTTCTTGTAGACATATCTTGATATGAATCTTCTGATTAAATAAAAACTAATCAATAAGATTATTGATATATAGATAAAGATTGTCCAGATACTAGGAGATGTTGAAAAATCAGTATTATCTATTTTCGGCTGATTTTGAAGTATTTTTCCTCTTATATCTTGTAGTTCGTCTAACTCGACATTTTCCAGTGATATTGTTAGGTCCATATTTTGTGGCGAACTGGTTAGGGTGTTTATCTTTGGGTAGTTAAAACTTTGTTTAGAATATATCTCAGTGTTCTTAACTCTTTGGTTAGGAGTTGAGAGTTCACATCCCTCTGGAATATGAATTATAAGGCTTCCGTTTACTTTCAAAATTTCTTCTTGATGGTGGCAGTGTAACTTGATATTTTCTTCATCGGGGATTATAAAAATCCACTGATTTGAATTTTCGATATGTTTGATGATCGGCCGGTTGACGCGAACATTGTGTTTTTGACAAGTGGAAAGGTTTTTTAAGCTCAAAAACTGGACAGTGCAGGGGTTGACTTCTTGGATTTCTAGTAGTTCCACTTCATTGCATAGGTATTGCTCTTGGAAGATCTTCGTGCAGGAATCGCTCGAGTACGCGTAGTACAATTTATTCATTATTAGAAATTTATTTTTTGGAATTACAGCCTTAAACTGACTTTCTCCCATTATTGGTACGGAATAAATGTGAAATAAGTTAAAATCCGAAGGGTGAATAATGGGTATATTTAAGATGTATGTAATTTTATTTTTAAAAGAATAACTTTCTATTTTAATTAACTTTTCTAGTAACAAAACATTTTTATGATCAAGTTCGATAGGTAATAAAAATGTATTTGAGCCACTCTGTATACGTTTCAGTTCTTCCAAGAATTCCAATGGTTTAATTATACTCGGGTGCATTATCCCTAGTCTAGCAAACGTAACTGAATTTTCAATATCTTGTGTAATAGAATAAATAATATTATATAGTTCTATAATTTGATTTAAAACATCTTTTATGAACATAGAATTTTCGCGGTGAACTGTTCCATTTATTATAAATGCAATTTGTTCTAATTTAGATTGAAGCAGTTTTTCATTATGCATTATATTTTTTAATGTATTGTTAAAATTATCGATTAATTTTATAGATAGCGAATTTTGCATTTTAATTGTTTCTGATAATTTATTTTGATTATTTTGAAGTTGTAATATTAGTTTTTCATATCGTTCACCATCACTAGCATCTAGATTACCACTGATAGCTTTGAAAATAGATCCCAAACCATTTATTAGTCCACGTTTTTTCCTTGGAGAATATGGAACTAATTCAGATAATTTATCACTTAATTTGTTTTCGATAAAATTTAAGACTTTTATGTAATTTGAGGAATCGTTTAAATATGTTGTATGTTTGCTAATTTGAAGTTTTATATTTTCAGATTGTAACTTTAACTTATCAATTTCTTCAATAAGAGGCTGAAGATCGTAAAAATGTATTAATTTATAATAATATTGTGTAAGCTTAGCCGTTCCAATTTTTGCTGGATATATACCGGGGTTGTTCACTAAGTTCTTGATTTCTATTTTATCTTCCATCCCCAGAATTACGGGTATGCTGAAAATAAATATTATCGGTCATTTAGGGTTTAAATTTAAAAGGTTTTTTGAGAGGACGTTTTAAGTTGTCCATATGAATTTTATCTTGAGCATCAGTAGAGACCGTTTTGCTTTTAGTATTAATCTGCTTTAGTTTTGTTTTCTTGCCAAACTTATTGGCAGTTTTTTGTCTGGTGTGTTTTTTGACAATTACTTCTTCAGTGTCATTGAATATTTCCGGGTCGTCACGGGTTTCGTTTATTTTATTTATTCGTTTTTCTTTTTCGTTTACTAGGTTTTCATTTATTTTTGAGTATAATAAACGGGATCGTTCTTTATGATCATTGACATAGTCGTTAATTAATATTTTATCGATATCTAAATTAAAAGGGCTGTTTTCGGTAATATGTCCATTTATGATGTCTATAGGTTTGAGTTTTGTGACAGAATGGAGCGAATTATTATACGCTAAAATGGCATATACAATTTTGTGTGATATTGGTGTTTTTAAGAAACCTCTTGTGTTAAGTAATCTAACGTGCTCGATCAAGGTTGAATGGAACCTTTCGATTGAACCTTGAGATTGGGGGTGGTTAACTGAACAAAAATGTATTTTTATTTTGTGTAAGGCTAGCAGCTCTGAGAGAACTGAGTTTTTAAACTCGGTACCATTGTCTGTTATGATTTGATCTGGAACTCCGTGATGAGAAAAGAATTGTATAAGATTATTTACGATTTCCGTACTGCAAAGTGATTTGAGATGATATGCTTGGGCATATTTCGAAAAACTATCGATAATTGTTAAAAATTTATTTTGTTCAAGTGTAAAAGTGTCCATATGAAGGATTTGGAAGGGTTTTGTTGCAGTAGGTGTAATGTTCATCTGTATTTTTATAGGGTGTCGCTCATATTTGCTTTGTTGGCAAATTTCGCAATCATTGATGAAAGTTTGGATAGAATTTTTCATAAAGGGCCAATAATATTTTTCTTTTATTCTATTGTAAGTTTCATCGATTCCTCGATGATTAGACTTACTTTCATGATAATTCTGGATTATTTCTTTCAGGTCATCGTTGTTAGTTACATCGATTAATTTTTTAGTGCATTTTCTGAGTTTTAATGCAGAGTGTTTGAAGTAATTTTGAAGAGTGTTTGAAAAGGGTTCATACAGGTCAGGGTTTTCGAAATATAAATAATATAATGTATCAGGATTTATGTAGGTTTTGACAAAATCGATTATATCTTTTTCTAAATTATTTTGTGATAGTTGTAGAATAATACGTTTTTTTTTCCAAATAAAATTTTCGTCTTAGGATTTGCTGGTGAGTGTAATACTGAGTTAATAATTATTTGATTTGCCCGTAATTAACTGCAGTTTCTATTATTGGAATACCGAAGATAGGATGATTTTCCGCGTTAGAATGGATTGTGTGATCGTCAGCATTTTCATCTATCTCACGGTGACGGTCAAGGTCGGGTTCAACGTGCATGGAGTTGTTGTCGTCGTTAGGTGGATTACTTACGTTAGGCAGATTTTCGCTGTATAAATCTAAAGGCGATTTCTCAGTATTATTATTAGTGCTGGGTGGATTTTGGGAAAATAAATTTCTTTGAGATGTTTCGTAACCGTCGATATCTTTTAAAACATCATCTAATTGTTCCCAAAAAGAATTTGTTTCTTTTGTATGGATTTCGACTCTAGACAGAGCATCAGCATTTGTGTTGAGCTTGCCTTTTTTGTAGATAATATCGTAGGTGTATTCCGATAATTTTAATTTCCAGCGGGAAAATTTTGAATTGTCATCTTTAAGGGAAAATAGCCATTTTAGAGGTTTATGATCACAGACAATATTAAACTTCCGTCCGAACAAATATGGGCGAAAATATTTGGTAGCCCAAACAATGGCCAATAACTCCTTCTCTATTACTGAGTATCTTTGCTCGGATTCGTTGAGAGTACGCGATGCGTAGGCTATGGGCAAGTCTTGTCCTATGGGACCCTGTGAAAGCACAGCCCCTATGGCAATATTGCTAGCATCTGTGGTTAAATTGAAAGTTTTAGAGAAATCGGGATATTGTAGTATGGGTTGATTGATTAATAAATTTTTACAAGTTTCAAAAGCAGTTAAATATTCATTATCTAAAGTTATCTTAGCACCCTTTTTAAGGCATTTTGTTAATGGTTTTGTTAATTTAGCAAAATTATTTATAAATCTGCGATAGTATCCTAAAAGACCTAAAAAGCTTTTTATTTGTTTAGTTGTTTTGGGTACTGGAAAATTTTTTATAGCGTGAATCTTATCGGGGTTAGGCTTAACACCCTCGGGTGTAACAACATGACCCAGATAAGCAACCTCTTTGCGTAAAAACTCAGACTTGTCTATTTGTATTTTAAAATTTGATTCCCTAAGCCGATTAAAAACATTTCTAAGACGTTCAAGATGTTCTTGTAAAGATGTTGAAAAAATGATAATATCGTCTAGGTATACAAGACATTGTTCGTTTTGGATACCGCGGAGGATATTATCCATGACCCTTTGGAAGGTCGCGGGTGCTCCCTTTAGTCCAAACGGCATTCTTAGAAATTCCCAATGCCCATGTTCCGTGGTAAATGCGGTTTTCTCAATATCTGATTCATCCATCTCGATTTGGTGGAAACCACTTGCCAAATCGAGAGTTGAAAAATACTGACATCTACCCAGTTTATCGAGAAGGTCAGTTATGTTCGGTAGTGGATACTTATCGTCTATAGTTTTGGCATTTAGCTGCCTATAGTCGACAACTACCCGCCACTTTTGTTTACCCGATGCATCAGCCTTTTTTGGCACTACCCATATTGGGGATGACCAGGGTGAACTACTTGGCCTAATTATTTTAGAATCCAACATTTTTTTGATTTGATTTTGAACTTCGGTTTTGTAAACGAAAGGATATCTATATGGTCTCGAATAAACCGGTAATTCATCGGTTGTCTTTATACGGTGTTTAATTTTGTTTGTGAAGGATAGAGATTTATTTTCTTGATAAAATATATCGGAATATTCTTTGCATAAAGAAAGAATGGCTTTTTTCTCTTCCAGATTTAGATGATCAGTCCTAATTTGAGTTAGATTAAAATTTTGTTGGTAATCATCGATAAAATTTAAGTCGATATTTTGGATTTCCTTTCTATCGAATTTACAAACTTCGATAGGTTCGGACATGTCTAACACAATATTGTCAGTTGTGCTATTCAAAATGGTTGTTATGGCCTCGCCATTATTAGCTATAGTTAAACTCTCAGGAATTTCACAATTGTGAATTTTTATGTGGGGAATTATAACTTCGCCATTTTGAATAGAAGTTCTAACTTTAATGACTTGTTGTGATCTCGGTGAAACATTTATAGAATATACTGGGTTTTGAATTCGGTGAAAAAGTAGTTTAATTTTTGCATATGGTGTTAATAAATATCCGTCTTTAAAATTAATATTTGCCTGTAAAAACTTAAGATTGTCAAGTCCAATAAGCCCATTAAAAATATTATGGAATTTAAATAAGTAGAATTTAAGATATTTTGTTTCCGGTAAATTAAAAATTTGGGAGGCTGGAATTTCAGCGCTGTATTTATGTGATGATTTTTGAAATACCGTAGTTACGATAAACGGATCTGATTTTATTGAATTTGGAAAAAATTTATTAGCGACTTGTGGATCGATAAATGATTTGGTCGACCCAGAATCGATCAATAATTTTATATTATATTCAGGAAAAATTAAATATGCTAATTCACTTGAATTTGTTGTGTTTAATGAAATTATTTTCGGTTTTATGTGTCTTGATTGGGAGTAGGAGTATCGTGAAAATTTTGTTTGTCAACATTCGAAACAATATCTGTCTGTATTTCGGTTTCATTGATATCTTGATAATTGACATTAAATTCCTCGTAATCTTGAGGTTCAGAGTATTCAATATTTTGATCATATGTCTCTTCTTGATTTGCCTCTGTATTGAAAAGTTCTTCGACAATAATATTTGGATTTTTACCAACATTACTA